ATACGCGTTACTTATCATCACTGCACAAATTAACTTTGCATAAAACTCATTTGCATAATCGAATACGTTCGAACTACAAGACCCTGTCGGTTAACACAGTTATGCGAAAGTTACTTGGTTACTTTAATAAGACGTTTTACGCCCTGTCTCCGGATAAATTGTTCAGTTAATAGACCATTTTCCGTTCACTGCGAGAATCACGCGTTATGCGTGAAATCGAACGTAAAAACAGGACAAACAAAGGTCATAGCGTCGTAGTCGCGTCAAACATCGCGTGGGATTCGACAAACGCGAAAGTATTTCGGGGACATTTCCAAGCTTATAATGTGCTGTCCACATTTGATGTTAGGCAATTTCGATTAAGTAAGGGTATTCGGAAGCAATATTCCTCTGTCGAAGATCGGCCGGTCAATGTAAGCTACGAAATAAAGAAATTCTAGTTCAAAATCAAATCGTTCGATTTTTGCGGCAGACGTTCGACGCGCGTCATTCATGCATCTCGCGAGATCTCGCAATTGTACGGAAAATCACCTATTAGATTGGTATATACATGACATGCGTTAGAAAAGTGCAATCCTTTCCTAGATGCCGAAAAATTAGATTGTACTAAATAAATGACTAACTTTATAAACTTACTAGAACCTTTGCGATAAAATGGTTCGTATTACGTTTTTACTGAAGTTTGACATTAATAAATAGTTCGGATGTCACATTCGTTTTTTTCCCACTTTTTATAATACGTTTTCAGATGTATCAACTACAGGAAACTGTCGGTGCGTGGTGAGGTGATTGACCACAAAATTGAAGGCTGCCTGTGGCAGAGGTACTATTGCGTTTGTGCTACGGAAAATAAAAAAAATGGGTTTCCCACTTCGAAAACAGCTACATCATGCCGTCGTTTTTGGTCGCGCGTGGCGGCAACCAGTAAACACTCCTCGTCTTGACTCGTGATTTTGATACGATTGCGTCCCGTCATAGAGAATAGTGTGCAGCGGTCTTTACATATAAGTAGTGCCAAAGTAAAGA